TATGGAAGCAGTTCAGAGAAAGAAAATGGGAATTCCTACAAGTAGCAGCAGTTTTACTGCTAGGTAAAGATCTGGGGAAAGAATAAGATAGCACGTTTGTTTCACATACTGATCTATTTGTTCCTTTGGGGGTCCTACAATGAAAAATTTTAGAAAATTGAAATAAAAAATTCTTCTCCCACATCTTGGATTACATCATCTTGTCGTGGGTACTTTGGCTCATTTTCAGCCAGTAGCTAAGTGAATAAAAAGCTGACACACAATCGTGTAGGAAATTTCTCATAAATCCATGCTGGTATAATCTAAGAGAACTGAAAGCAGAGGGAGAATTTGCTGGGGAAGAGAATTCACTAGTTTTCAATTCAGGATTCTTAATGGAGATTTCATTTGCACTAATACCCTAAGAAATAAGTATGAATGAAATGTGCCTTTGTTTTCCCAAGTAAGAAACTGGAACATGAGCAGGAAGAAAACAAATCAATGTTTGATCCTGCCTGAGATCCATTCTAATTTCCTGTTTCCACAAAAAGAGGCTTTTAGCCCAGCCAGCTGAGGAAGTGTCAGCACAGATCTTGTTGGAAAGGGTCAGATAGATCCATAGCTCATTGTGGTCACAGCCCCAGGCAGATGGCAGGATACCATTATCATCTTACTCCTTGTCTGCCATTGATTGCACAGTTTCTGCCACCTATTAAATATTGAAGGGTACTCCACCAGAGTTGATTTGGTTGCAAATAAGAAAGATTTCACTGCCTCCAGACAGATAGTTGTCTCTCTGCTCCCTGAATAGTATAATCATGCTCTATTTAACATTAGCTGAGTGAGCATGTTTCAGAACAAGGCCTGTCCCCCAAATGCCTTCTGCCAAACGTCAACAAGAGGTGACTTGTCTGTGTGCATTTGAGCCGTGGGGCCATAAATGTCCCAGGTAATGCATGGCTGAGGTTGCTATGGTTATCTGTTAGAAATTATTGGCAAGAAGGGCAATGATAATACCACAGTGCATCTCGTTGCCAAAGCGTATTTGAACACACTGTCACCATGATTCTTGAGAGTCTTGTTGTTGTTACCCAGTTTATTTTCTATAGCCATGCAAGATCATTATTATTCAGAGAAGATATACAGAGTTACATGGCAATAGAGGTGGAAGCATTTACAAAATTTACAGTGCTATTTATACAAACAGGACAATAGTTTACCGCATTTCTTTGCTTCAAAAGGCCTATGTTACATCTAACTGCATCTTTCAGCAGTGTGCTTTAGGGCAGTCTTCAGCATTTTGCAGCACTAATATCTATCTTTCTATCTATCATCTATCATCTATCTTGCATACACATGGCTTCAGGCAATAGTGTTGTTTTCATTTAAAGGACACAAAGGTAACTGGGCTGTAAAATTAAGCTGGATTAAGATACACTTGGTTGTTTGCAGTTGTCTATGTTTTATTCTGGATATTCCAGGTAGTTTTTATTAATAATGAGTTCCTAGATAAGCCTAGAGGTGTGTCTGAGTGTGCCTCTTTGTTTTCATAACACAGCAGCTTGTACAATGGTAACCCACAAAACTATACACTGCCCTGATCCCCTATTTTACTGTTCTGCACAAGGGAACGTCATAAAACCTTGACACTGAGCTTCATAGAGGAAGAACTGGGTAATAATGTGATCAGTTGTTGAAATGATTAACACAGCTTGAATGTCAACTATTCTTCAAAAAAAATATCTAAGAAGCCACATATTTTCGCACCTAAAACTGCAATCCGAAAATATCAGATATTGTTGTTAGATCAAATTACTTAGCTTGACGAAGTTGCACTATGCATATTCTCTCCAGGTATATTTTACTCATATTCTCACCGAACCTTTGAAGATAGGGGATTTCTCTCAGCATTTGGGCAGAATAAATCACATTAAGTTAGGTGACAGATGCTGCAGTAAAATTGCTTGTAATTAAATGATACCCAAACTCAGCCACACATAAAATGTAGATATTAACAGCTGGACCAATACAATTCCTTTTAATCATTCTGGAGGATATCATTGGCAAAATGCCAGCTTTTAATTGCTGCACATTAGCTTAAACATTCAGGGCAACTGAAGAACGCTTTACTTATATATTTACATACAAATAAATGGCAATGATTGAAGTCGGCGTATTGTACTTTCCCCACATTGGGACTATGTGTCTAAGCAAAAGCACAGCATCCACGTTCCTGTTTCTCTTTTGGGCACTGATCTGAGGCATTAACTGCATCTGTCAGTGCTGGCACAAGAACCCCAAACATTGTAGCAGAGCTCAATTTCCTGTGTAGGAACGATCCACAAAAGATCTAGCATTCATCGTGTGAAGACCCCAGTTTGATTTTTAAAATATCAGGCTTTTAAAAAATGATTTCTCCACACAGGGAATGAGACCGCTCTCAGCCTTCTTCTTAAGCACATTGGCAAAGTTTAATAGAAATACTGTTATCAATCCAACCATCCTGGACTTCACAGTGGGTTCTTTCTGCATCCTGTTCCTGCTGCCTTGAGCTCCCAGGAATTTGTTTCTGGGGGGTTCAGTGGCCCTTCAGGAACAGCAAAGGAGGTAAAGTGGGGCTCTGCTGAAGGAAGAGGAATCAGCAAAAATCACCATACCCACTTCTGAAGTTTAAGTGCCCTTAAGTCTTCAGAATTGCTTAGTTGGGTGCATGTCTTTACCAATCTTTCTGCATAAAGGTGATGTACATAGGGATGATATAACATTAAAATGGGGTGATAAGTCCTGACCTGGATAGCCCAGGCTAGCCTGATGTTGTTAGATCTCGGAAGCTAAGCAGGGTCGGCTCTGGCAAATATTTGGATGGGTGACCAGGGTTGTGACTCAGAGGTCGAAAAGGGCAAACCACCTCTGAACGTCTCTTGCCTTGAAAACCCCATGGGGTTGCCATAAGTCAGCCGTGATGGCTGCACTTTCCTTCACCAATAGAAATACACAATATTTATTTCATTACCCCACATTCCTCTGAGAAGCTGACATTGTTCTCCAAGTGGCTGACAAAGTGGCTGGCATTGTTCTCACAGGGCTCTTTTTGTAGAAAAAGCCCAGCAGTGATGACGGCACTTTCCTTCACCAATAGAAATAAGCAATATTTATTTCATTACCCCACCTTCCTCCAAGAAGCTGACATCGTTCTTCAAGTGGCTGACAAAGTGGCTGACATTTACAGGGCTCTTTTTGTAGAAAAAGCCCAGCAGGAACTCATTAGCATAATAGGTCACACCCAACAGCAGAAAATCATTAGCATATTAGGCCACACCCCTGACAGGACAGCTCATTAGCGCATTAGGCCACACCCCCATGTTACCAGAAGTCTGGTCATCCAGCCACACCCACCTTTTGCTTCTTATTCTGTTAACCTTGTTAGTTGTCAAAACCCAGGGCTTTTTTGTAGCAGGAACTCCTTTGCATGTTAGGCCACAGGGGTGCCTAATGTAGCCAATCCTAATGAGTTTCTGTTGTTGGGTGTGGCCTATTATGCTAATGAGTTCCTGCTGGGTGTGGCCAACTTGGGAGCCAGCCAGAACTCCGTTCCTGTGCGTTCCTGCCCAAAAATAGCCCTGGTTCTCTATTTTATCCTCCTAACAACCTTGTAAGGGAGGTTAGGCTAAGAGAGAATGACTGGCCCAAGGCTTCCATGGCAGAGTGAGGATTTGAATCTGGGAGTCCCAAATCTTAGTCCAGTGCACTGACCACTACACCATGCTGGAAATTTGCCAGGAAAAATAGATGGGATGAACCATGCATAAATAATAAAAGAAATGAAAAAAAAATACATATGAAAAAATAAATATTTGTACTTTTCCAGTCCAGACCAAGTTACTGGTCAACTCCCAGCTGGAAATGTGTAAAATTAATTGGAGAATTCTAGGTAGGTGTTACAGCTCCAATTTGTAGTAACTCTTGTAGCACTCAATAACTGGTTGCTCGTTTATTTATTTACTTATTTATGACACTGTTAGCTTGGTCACCTAAGCCTGTGCTTTTGTTCATCTTCAGTTAGGCCAAAACAGATAATATGGCATAAAAGTCTTTCCTGCATTTGAAGAAATCAATTTCAGTTAGTAGCCACCAAATCCATGACTGTAAATCCAATGAATCCTTAAGGGTGACACAGTTACCCTTTAGGAATTATCTGATAGGACAGGAGACATTAGCTCATGAGCAGCTCCAACAAAGCCAGGAGAAAATACTAATGACCCGATCATGTGGGTGGGAGCCAAGCTCATTAGTCTTTTCCATAGAATGAGTGCTGCCCCAGTTGCTTATTCTATGGGAAGGACTTGTACAGTCTGTGCCACCCCTAGGGTTTGGTCATTAGCGTTGCAGTCCTATGCAGAATAACTCCAGTCTAAGCCCTCTGAAACCAATATGACTGGAGTAACTTGCCATAGGATGGCACTGTGCAACACTCTTCCAGACATGTGGGAGCTAGTTCTTGATAAGGAACTTGTAGAGCTCAGAAAACATGTGAACAGCACAACAAACTCACATTATGTAGTACTTCGTCTAAGTGCTTAAACCACTTAACCTATATTAATACAGTATTGCTTTCAACAGTCCTCCAAAATAGGGCCAGTGTTATGATTGCCATCTTTAGCTGGATGGCCCAGACTAGCCTGATCTTGTCAGCCTAAGCAGGGTTGGCCCTGGTTAGTATTTGGATGGGAGACCCAGCAACGAAGTCCAGGGTTGATATGCAGAGGCAGGCAATGGCAAACCACGTCTGAACATCTCTTGCCTTCAAAATCCTTTGGGGTTGCCATAAATCAGCTGTGACTTGATGGCACTTTCCACCACCATTATGATTGTCAGGTTACATAGAAGGGCAGAGAGTGAGAGATACTGGATGGCCAGTAATGTGGTAATAGGAGTGTTGAACTATAAGGGCCACATGTAACTTCTTGTAAAGTGCAGTGCTAGCCAAGTCATTTTCTCAGCCTAATCCTAGGTGGCAGGGAGGGGATGTGGCTGAGTGGTAGAGTGTCTGCTTTGCAAGCAGAAGGTCCCAGGTTCAATCTCTGGCATCTCCCGTTAAAATGATCCAGTATTAAGTGATGGGAATCAGCAGTAGGTGGTGGGAATCAAATTCCATATGTATGTGCACTTGTGTTTTTAAGGGGGGGGGAATCTTACCAGGGCTCTTTTTGTAGCAGGAACTCCTTTGCATATTAGGCCACACACCCCTTCTTACAGGAACTACTGTAAGCTCTTGGAGGATTGGCTACATTAGGGGTGTGTCGCTTAATATGCAAATGAGTACCTGCTACAAAAAGAGCCCTCATTCAGATTTGAATCAGGACCTTCCATGACATAAAACAGTCCCTTAATGCAGGGCCTACTACTGGATGAGCTTGTGAAGAGAGACACTTTAGTAAGTTCAGGTATATAATTCTATAACCACAAAGCTAATTTTCAGAAAGAGATAACTTACCCACTGGTATTAGAACAGGGGTTCCTACTAATGTGAAAGATGCACAGTCCTGTCATCTCAAAACACTTAGCACATTAAGCAGTATTAAAAGGCCGTTTTCCACTTGTCTGGCCATTTCTGATGTGACACATTTGTTCTAAATGGCAGACTCGGCAGCTGCCCCTGCTTTCAAAGGGTTAACACAGCTTTAGAATGTCTTTTAAATGCTTGAAGTCAAGTGTTTGAAATGGATCACAAGGACAATGGGACGAGAGTTCCCCTTCTCAATTTCATGCCATGCCTAAGAGAATAGAAGAGAATGTATTTTTAAAAGAACATTTCATTGTAATTTTAATGAGCATTGTGAGTGAATTCCTCGTCTGCCTTTAGGCGATCTCTCTTACAGTACATTTCATATGTGATAAAATATTCAGACTCACTAACTTATATTGAATTTTTGGGACTCCATCATTTTCTATTAAAAGGGTGGCTTTATTGACTAAGGATCAGCATCAATTGCATATAAACGGTTTTATACATAGACATAAAAACCATTTTCGTAACTTCCACTACTATTTCAATTTAATATTTGCATGATTTCTGCCAGGGTAAAAGAGAAGGATTTGTTGGACTTCTGTATGCATCTCTTTTGGCAGGACTGCGCACACTTCAAATTCTAAACACACTCCAAATGGAACTCATGGTGTGCATAAAATTAAAGAGAGTGACTTCAGTATCACTTGCAAATTTGCTTTTTATGCCTCTGTAGAGCTGTGAAGCATGCTTCCTTACTCTGAACCCAACGCTTTCTAAGATACAAGAAAGACTAGGGAGAAGTGGATTAGAAGGGCAAGGGATGGAACAAAGGTCATTCTTAATGGGCCAAGCAACATGTGATTCTGGAATTCACAGATGTGCAGTCTGGACATTAAGAAGCAGTCATGGCATGGGGAGAAGATGGATATTGGCCAAATTGCTGAGTTGTTGTTGTTCAGTCGCACAGTCGAGTCCGACTCTTTGTGACCCCATGGACCAGATCACACCAGGCCTTCCTGTCTTCCGCCGTCCTCTGAAGTTGGCTCAATTTCATGTTTGTTGCATCTATGACACTGTCTAACCATCTCATCATTTGCCGGCCCCGTCTTCTTTGACCTTCTATCTTTCCCAGCATCAGGGTCTTCTCCAGTGAGTGCTCCCTTCTCATTTGGTGGCCAAAGTATTTGAGCTTCAGTTTCATTATCTGGCCTTCCAGGGAACAGTCAGGTTCGATTACTTTTAGGATTGACTGATTTATCCTACCACACCATTTCGCAGTTGGATATGTGTTCTGGCTTGCTTTAAACCCAGGTAGGAAAACGAACAGATACCTGTTATAAAGCAGCTTCACATGTTTGCCTGCCTTTTTAGGAAAATCTATATGGTCCAAAGGTATACCATCTGCACCAGGCATTTCAGGACAAATGATCTCAAGAAGCAGGTGTTGGAAAGATACTTCCACCATCTGAGATCCTGTAGAAAATCACTGCCAGGCATATCAGTCAATATTAAGTTCCATGTCAAGCCTCCCACTTTAACCCACTGTTTCCCAAGATCTTGTGACAGTCACAAGATGCTTCAAAATTGTAATGATTTAAAATTGTAATGATTTGTTGCTTAGAGATCACTTTTCTAGTGTTAAGGGTTTTCAGCCTCCCTAACTATGGGGGAGTGTTTCTGCAAACTCAGGGTGTTGCCCCAGGTTTTTAGAAAAACCACCCCTTGCTGTACCTGGCCCCACTGTATGGATATTTTGATCTGTTCACGATGAGGTATAAAGATTGCTTGTGGGTAAACCCTAAGAAACAAGAAAATTACATCAGCAGTCATTGAAGGCAGCCTTAAATTCATCCTCTGTTCTCTCCAAATTAGCTGCTAATTCTCTTAAATGAAACAGAGCAATAGCATATGCCCCAGCAATCCAAAATAAAGATTGTTTTGTTAGTATAACTTGTAAAACCACAACAGTCAAACCGGGATCACTGCCTCTGTTCCCTATGACATTTCTAAAGGGTTTTATGTGATCTGTTGTACATTGTAGTCCTTTAGTTTGCTGTAGCCTGTCATGTATTGGCTGTTCAAACAGGATCTGTTCTTGATCTGACTGTGCCAGTATATGACTGCATTTTCTACAGAGTAGCTGCACCAAACACATTGAGCCAGGTTTACTATCCAAATAGATAGCTGTAGGAGATGAAAGGGATTTCACTGCGCTGGCATCCTGTGTCTGTAGGGAGTGTGCATTTCAGTCCTCTCATTTAGACTTCTAAGCCAAATTTAAACATTCTGATGGTCCATATAAAAAACTTGACTATGTGCATTTGATGCAGCAAGCACTGGGTTTAAATAGGATCGTTCCAGCTATGCATGCAGCATTAGTATATCATCAATCCATTGTCCGGGTGCTATTTCAGTTTTCCACACGTAACAGCAGTGGGTCTCATTTAAAACTGGGCCAGCCCACATGAAAAAGCTACACAGATGCACTTTCTTCACATCTAGTTCTCTTTTCAGTTAGGCCCAACGGATTGGATGTAGGGGTAGGAACCTGACTACCTCTAAAGCATGTGTGAGCATATGAACATTTTTTTTCAAAAAGAGAAAGTCACTGAGTTGTTTTGAGGTGTATCTTGAGCAGGGGTAAAAACATGTACATTAACTCGAGGAAGAAAAAGACATACCAATGAGATCTCCCCAAAGGCAAAATAGGGGCAAATAGAAAACAGTATAAGGGTTTTTTTTAAACCAACACTTGTTTAATTGGACAACTTTGTTAACCACATGCCTGAGACCCACAACCTGCTCTACCACTACCCACTCAACGTTGCTGCTGCCAGTCAGTGGTCCCACCCTGGCAGTGGGGAGAAGGTGGTAGAAGTATGAAAATGGCAGCCATGCCTGGGACCTGGCGAGATCCCACTGCCCACTCCACTACAACCTACTGCTGCCCTCTCCCCACCACTGGGTTGTGGGCCTTGGCTGTGTCCCAGGCATGGTAACTGGTCATTTGAGCACTGCTGCCCTCTCACCAGCAGGTAAAAGCTTTGCGAACTGGCATATTCAGTAAACTATCAAACTCCATTCCCTGTGGATGTTGGTTAACAAAGCTTTTGCTGTACATGTTTTCATTATTATTATTGTTGTTGTAACCTGCCCCATGTGCCAGTTTTAGTAGAGCTGGGCAAGCTGCAGAGGGTGGTGGAGGAGAAGTCTCTGCTGGCTCATGTCAGGCTTCCCAGTCAAGACACTCAACAACGTTCCTTCAGAAGTTTCAGTTTATTGAGGGCTAGTACTCAGGATACCATGAACACTTGTGTCAGGAATGGCGGGATAATGATTAGAACCTTCAGATATACCACCTTCATATATGACCCACTGATATAGTAAAGCCAATAGGCAAGCACCTGAAGATACGGGCAAAAAGCAACAGTTACATTCCCAGTGGGAAAATAGGAGCAGGCAGAGTAGAGGCTTCAAGGACACTAGACAGATAATAGCACACAGCCTAAGAGGAAAGGGGGATGAGAGGAGGGAGACAAGGAGAGCAACCCACACATTCCAAACCATGGCAGCCTTAGCTGACAGCTCCAGGTGAGCTGCAGAAAATTGCCAGGCAGCCCAGGGCTCCATGCTGGGCTCGGGGTGGGGGGTGGGATTCCCCCCAGGAGTCTTGCTGGCCCCCACACATTAATAAATAATCAAGATATTCCATTTCCCTTGATTCAAAGCTACCTTGCTAGTGATACTGGAAGCCTACAGACTGCTGGTCCATTTGTAGAGGTTCTCCTCCTTCTATCATTCCTCTCGCTTTATCTGAGAAGGACACACACTGGCAAACCCCAGGAAGCACTGCAACCTTTAAAACAAAAGGCTGGCTGTATATTAGACACCAAACCGTATCACTGCTAAAGATCAAACAGAGGGTGTATTTCCTGGTGTGCTCGGTATATGGTGTTAGGAGTAAATGAAGGATACCATTTAATTAAATTTCTAGCATCTCCCACCAAGTCTCCCTTATGCTAGATTGCATTGGATTTTCAAAGCAACACTGCACCACAGGAGTGCAACTGGGAGATCTTGTGCCTCACAAAGCACCAGCCATGCATATGTGACAAGGATGCAGCTAACTGACAGGATTGTCCCCTGCTGTGAAATAAGAAAACTAAACCAAATTGGTGTGTGTGCAAGAGAGTTTTACCTTGGAAGTAAAATACAAAAGGTTTGAAAATATAGGATGTTCTTCTGCTGTCTTCAGTCGCTTTAAGGGCAAATTACATGTGTGAATCAATTCTGTTTATATCTACTCAGAGGTAAGTTTCAATGGGACTTATTCCCATTAGGTGCACAAACAAAGGGACTGACCCCATTTCTAAACCCCTCTTTTTCGTAACGCAAGGCCGATGAACCCATATAAATAGAATTTTTTTTTAGTTTGTATAAATCATTATGAGAGTTACATCCAAGAAATAATGCACTACTTATAATCTTAGCTTTAGTGCACTGATGTTACATATTGATATCTCTCCCTATCTCTCCCTATATATAATTGAGTATTGAACATTCTATTTCGCAACATTCTAAATT